TTGAGGGGCACTACAATACTACTCCAAAACAGGACGTGACGATTGTACACACATTGTTTTTCTTCTAAATAGTACCAGATAGGGGTTATTTGGCTTGTAACCATAGTGTAACCCTTTTTGGTGCTATATAGAACCCTTTTTTGAAAGTTCAATAAAGAACCATTAAAAAGGTTGCATATAGCACCAAAACAGGGTTCCGCTATGGTTACAATGCTTTTTGGGGCTATATAGAACCCTTTTTTATGGTTATTTCTAGAACATTTATGGAGAAAGGTTCTTTATAGGACCATTCTCAATCTTTAAGGTTCTTTGTAGATCCTTTTAAAGAAACATACAGGTTTCTTTTTATTTTGATCAGCCATATTATATTGTTAAAATTCCATAGGCGTTATTATTGTGTTAATTGACAAGTTAAATCAAGTGAGCTACCTCTGGAAGGAGTTGGGGGTCCCCTGAGGAGAGAATTGAGAACCACTGACTGATTTAGTCAACCTTTCTTAATTGACACAAGGCCATACGTGAGTCTTTCACAAGACACCATCACTGGCCATAGTCATATACACTGAGTGTACAAAACATTACGAACACCTTCCTAATATTGACTTGCACCCCCTTTTGCCCGCAGAACAGCCTCAATTCGTCGGGGCATGGACTCTACAAGGTGTCGAAAGTGTTCCACAGGGATGCTAGCCCATGTTGACTCCAATGCTTCCCACAGTTGTGTCAAGTTGGCTGGATGTCATTTGGGTGGTGGAACATTCTTGATACACACGGGAAACGGTTGAGCGTGAAAAACCCAGCAGCATTGCAGTTCTTGACAGACTCAAACCAGTGGGCCTGGCAGCTACTACCATACCCTGTTCAAATGCACTTAAATCCTTCTTTAACCTGTTTCCTTCCCTTCATCTACACTGATTTGAAGTGGATTTAACAGGTGACATCAATACGGGATCATAGCTTTCACCTGGTCAGTCTGTCATGAAAAGAGCAGGTGTTCCTAATATTTTGTGCACTCAGTGTATAATATGTAATGACATAACCAATTATGTACATAAACCCTGGATTACTGATGTTATGTATTGGCCATTGAGAGGCTTTGAAGCCACCGGTCGGCCATATTGGCACTCCCCAGAAGGAACAATCCTCCAAATGTTTTGTTGTAGAGGGGACAGTAACATTAGTCATCTTCAAGGAAAATGTGTTTTTATATTTTTTAGAATTGTTATGGTTAGCTCACATAATATAAAAATATACATTAAGGTTTATGTAATAGAATAAATGTATGAAATGCACTTCGATAACTTCCAGAATGTTTTTTTTAACAATGGTGGGGGAGTGCCAAGATGGAGGCACGGTGGCTTCAACACAGCACCCCCTATAAGTATTCTAGTGTATATATAAATCATTGAACAACACATTCGATAAACTGGAATGATACTCACTCACGTTTGCGCAAAAAGAGCTGTGAGCAAACCACGCCGCAAAATATTCTAATGAGCCACCTCCCATATATTTTAACTTTCACTAAAAGAGCAAATTCTCATTGTGCTTCATCATGTCAATGTTGACCAGCCCAGGTTACGGTAGTCAGTTCTACTGTGTCACAGTCAACAGTCTGTGTTCCTATTGGAGAGGCTGGGTAAGGTTACCTGTGCTCCTCTGGGCATGCTCAGTCCGTAGGGGCTGTCACCTGAGATGGCATGGATGGGACGGTGTCACACGCACCCCTGACTTCTCTTGTACCTGATAGAGGTAAAATACTCTGTACTTCAACTCTATTACTTCATCTGAAACAGGAGGCCTTCCCTTTGTAACAATTTAGAAAAATGGCATTCAGATAAAATATTTATTTCATAACATTTTTCTTATGACCAGTGAGAAATTGAAATTATTCTACCAAATGCATCTAAATTACAACAAATTCACATGATTAAAGACAGCAGATAACCGAAAGTGAGCACCAACATCTTCGTCTGTGGCAAGATTTCAAGCAATGTGAATTCCATATGCATGAAACACTTCCTCCACGACCTCATGTACAGTAATCAGAATTCCATCCCGATCAGTAACATTTCACAGTAAGTAGGTAGGTACTGGTAGGTATGGATAACTATCTCAAAATAGGATAGTGGTATCTCAAAATATAACCCATCATGGTAATTGGTGAATTGAGTATACAGTGCCTTGCAAAAGTATTCAACCCCCTTAGCGTTTTTCCTATTTTGTTACATTACAACCTGTAATTTAAATGGATTTTTATTTGGATTTCATGTAATGGACATACACACAATAGTCAAAATTGGTGAAGTGAAATTTAAAAAAGAACTTGTTTCAAAAAATTATAAGAAATAAATAATGGAAAAGTGGTGCGTGCATATGTATTCACCCACTTTGCTATGAAGCCCCTAAATAAGATCTGGTGCAACCAATGACCTTCAGAAGTCACATAATTAGTTAAATAAAGTCCACCTGTGTGCAATCTAAGTGTCACATGATCTGTCACATGATCTCAGTATATATACACCTGTTCTGAAAGGCCCCAGGTCTGCAACACCAAGCACCTAAGCAAGGGGCACCACCAAGCAAGCGGCACCATGAAGACCAAGGAGCTCTCCAAACAGGTCAGGGACAAAGTTGTGGAGAAGTACAGATCAGGGTTGGGTTATAAAAAAAAATCTGAAACATTCAACATCCCACGGAGCACCATTAAATCCATTATAAAAAAATTTGAAAGAATATGGCACCACAACAAACCTGCAAAGAGAGGGCCGCCCACCAAAACTCACGGACCAGGCAAGGAGGGAATTAATCAAAGGCAACAAAGAGACCAAAGATAACCCTGAAGGAGCTGCAAAGCTCCACAGCGGAGATTGGAGTATCTGTCCATAGGACCACTTTAAGCTGTACACTACACAGAGCTGGGCTTTACGGAAGAGTGGCCAGAAAAAAGCCATTGCTTAAAGAAAAAAATAAGCAAACATGTTTGGTGTTCGCCAAAAGGCATGTGGGAGACTCCCCAAACATATGGAAGAAGGTACTCTGGTCAGATGAGACTAAAATTGAGCTTTCTGGCAATCAAGGAAAACGCTATGTCTGGCGCAAACCCAACACCTCTCATCACCCCGAGAACACCATCCGGTGAAGCACGGTGGTGGCAGCATCATGCTGTGGGGATGTTTTTCAATCGTCAGGGACTAGGAAACTGGTCAGAATTGAAGGATTGATGGATGCGCTAAATACAGGGAAATTATTGAGGGAAACATGGGGTTGTGCAACAGTTGTCCATTATTGTTTTCAAAATTCTTCATGCTCTGTCAAATTGGTTGTTGATCATTGCTAGACAACCATTTTCAGGTCTTGCCATAGATTTTCAAGTAGAGTTTAGTCAAAACTGTAACTCAGCCACTCGGGAACATTCACTGTCTTCTTGGTAAGCAACTCCAGCGTAGATTTGGCCTTTATGTTTTAGGTTATTGTCCTGCTGAAAGGTGAATTAATCTCCCAGTGTCTGGTGGAAAGCAGACTGAATCAGGTTTTCCTCTAGGATTTTGCCTGTGCTTAGCTCTATTCCGTTTCTTTATCATGAAAAACTACCCAGTCCTTAACAATTACAAGCATACGCATAACATGATGCAGTCACCTCTATGTTTGAAAATATGGAGAGTGGTACTCAGTAATGTGTTGTATTGGATTTGGCCCAAACGTAACACTTTTTATTCAGTACATAAAGTTAATTGCTTTGCCACATTTTTTGCATTATTACTTTAGTGCCTTGTTGGAATATTTTTATTCTGTACACGCTTCCTTCTTTTCACTCTGTCAATTAGGTTAGTATTGTGGAGTTACTACAATGTTGTTCAATCAATCAAATGTTATTTATAAAGCCCTTTTTACATCAGCAGATGTCACAAAGTGCTATACAGGAACCCAGCCTAAAACCCCAAACAGCAAGCAATGCAGATGTAGAAGCACGGTGGCTAGGAAAAACTCCATAGAAAGGCTGAAACCTAGGAAGAAACCTAGAGAGGAACCAGGCTCTGAGGGATGGCCAGTCCCCTTCTGGCTGTGCCGGGTGGAGATTATAACATTAAGGCCAGATTTTTCTCCAAGATGTCATCATAGATGACCAGCATGGTCAAATAATAATCACAGTGGTTGAAGAGGTTGCAACGGGTCAGTACATCAGGAGTAAATGTCACTTGTCTTTTCATAGCCAGGCATTTAGAGGTTGAAATAGCAGGTGCGGTAGAGAGAGAGAGTTGAAAACAGCAGGTCTGGGACAAGGTAGCACGTCCGGTGAACAGGTCAGGGTTCCATAGCTGAGAGGGAGATCGATGTTGATCTATCCTCAGATTTTTCCTATCACAGCCATTAAACTCTGTAACTGTGTTAAAGTCACCATTGTCCTCATGGGTGGTGGACCATTCTTGATACACACTGGAAACTGTTGAGCGTGAAAAATCCTGCAGCGTTGCAGTTCTTGACACACCGGTGTGCCTGGCACCTACTACCATACCCCGTTCAAAGGCACTTAAATATTTTGTCTTGCCCATACACAATTCATGTCTCAATTGTCTCAAGGCTTAAAAATCCTTATTTAACCTGTCTCCTCCCCTTCATCTACACTAATTGAAGTGGATTTAACAAGTGACATCAATAAGGGATCATCGCTTTCACCTGGATTCATCTGGTCAGTCTATGTCATGGAAAGAGCAGTCTACGTGAGCTCTGTTCTTCAGGACCAGCTTCAGTCCCTCTGGGGTCCCTGCTGTCCCCAGGCCCCTCAGGCCCGTCTCTGGCCATCTGACACGCTGCCACCCCCACCTGACAGATACACACCACCAAGAAAAGGTCACAAACGCTGAGCCGTATTTAATCAACCCCCCTAAAAAACCTATTGTGCAATAAAGGTTATTAGGATTAATTTGATCTTTATAAATCAAAATGAAAAACGAAATATACAGTACAAACATTAAACAGAAGAGGGCATTGGTCTTACCCTGCCGCGGGCTCCATGGATGAGTAGTCTCGCCTGCTTTAGCATGTGCTCTGCATAAGACAGAGTGGAGCACAAGACTCAGTCACACTCCCTTTACAGTACACACCCCACAAACAAAGACTATTACTAAATAATAGGCATACAGCTTTTAACATAAAATGAAAGTATTTTTTGTCAGCCGAGTCAATGAACCTCCTCAATTTAATTGAACATCAAATCGATTGTGATGCTGAATCTGTCTAACCATGTCAAATCCAAAGACCTCAACCAAAACATTGGTGTCAAAATGTTGGTGTCTTACTTATGGAAGAGAGCTCTGTATGCTGTGAAGTAGGGGATCCCAATGGCAGCTCCCTGTTTGTAGTCTAAGGAGGCTGGCAGCCGCTGGACACAGTCCTCAGACATAAAGGTGTATTCTGCATACCCTCCCATCTTTGTGGCTGTGGTGAACACAAAGTCACCAGCCTGAAAGATGAAGGGTCAAATTAGTGTCACAAGGTCAACACACACCTGACATCCCTCTTCAGAAAGTCATGGTATAGTCATGCAAACAACTTAAAGACATGCTCAGGAACTTAGGCGACTAAGTCTTTTTTAAACCTCCCGCTTTGGACAGGATGTGTCAATGTGTAGTTCATACATGCATAATCTATTGGCAGAATTACTGTCTTATCTCACTTAGCCACAAAATCCCTAGTTTGAAAGTGACTTTTTTTCTAGAAGCTGTGATGCGCCATTTTCCCAAAAATTTTCCCCCACGTGGGCCAGCCCCCGAGCAATTCGAGTTCTAGCCAATGAGCTTCAACCCCTCGCCAACTGAGTGACAGCTAGCAAGATGCACACACAGCAGAGCGCAAGAGAGAGAGAGAGAGAGAAAGAGAGAGAGAGAGAAACAACGTAGCGCACATATGTGACGTAGTAAGCAATTTTAGGGGACCACTTTTGGCTCATCAGCGCTACATTCAGAAGTACTGGCTAAAAAGTATACAATAGTACCGGAGAATCTCTTTAATATATACTGAACAAAAATATAAACGCAACATGTAAAGTGTTGGTCCCATGTCTCATGAGCTGAAATCAAAGATCCCAGAAATGTTCCATACACACAAAGTTTATTTCTCTCATATTTTGTGCACAAATTTGTTTACATCCCTGTTAGTGAGCATTTCTCCTTTTCCAAGATAATCCATCAACCTGACAGGTATGGCATATCAAGAAGCTGATTAAACAGTATGATCATTACACAGGTAAAAACTTGTGCTGGGGACAATAAAAGGCCTCTCTAAAACGTGCAGTTTTGTCACAACACAATGCCACAGATGTCTCAGGTTTTTAGGGAGCGTGCAATTGGCATGCTGACTGTAGGAATGTCCACCAGAGCTGTTGTCAGAGAACTGAATGTTCATTTCTCTACCATAAGCCACCTCCAAAGTCGCTTTAGAGAATTTGGCAGTACGTCCAACCGGCCTCACAACCACAGACAACGTGTAACCACGACAGCCCAGGACCTCCACATCTGGCTTCTTCACCTGCAGGATTGTCTGAGACCAGCCACCCAGACAGCTGATGAAACTGAGAAGTAATTATGTCTGTAATAAAGCCCCTTTGTTGGGAAAAACTCATTCTGATTGGCTAGGCCTGGCTCCCCAGTGGGTGGGCCTTGCTTCCAAGTGGGTGGCCCTATGCCCTCCCAGGTCCACCCATGGCTGAGCCCATGCCCGGTCATGTGAAATCCATAGATTAGGGCCTAATGAATTTATTTCAATTGACTGATTTCCTTATATGAACTGCATGTTGCTTTTATATTTTTGTTCAGTATAAATGCATTCACCCAATGGCTACTTGTGGTTCATCAGTCTATAGTGCTGGATGCAAAATGTTTCAAATCAAATCAAATCTAAATGTATTTGTCACATGCGCCGAATACAACAGATGTAGACCTTACAGTGAAATGCTTACTTACAAGCCCTTAACCAACAATGCAGTTTTAAGAAAGAATACCTAAAAAAAAATAAAAATAAAATAAAAGTAACAAATAATTAAAGAGCAGCAGTCCAGTTCAAGGTGAGTAATCGCTGTTCTGATGTCCAGAAGCTCTTTTCGGTCATAAGAGACGGTAGTAGCAACATTATGTACAAAATAAGTTACAAACAATGCGAAAAAACTAACAAAATATATTTCTTCACTACTGGATGCAAAATGTTTCTTCACTACTGTTTCTTCACTACACTAGCATCACATTCCACATGAGAATACCATCAGTAATCATGATGTAACAGGGATGGATGGATAAGATCAGCACCTGTATGAGCAGCCTCCACGACCCCGGACACATCAGTTCCTGGAGTGTAGGGCAGGCTGGGCTTCCTGGTGTAGGTCCCAGAGCGGATGTAGGTCTCCACTGGGTTCACTCCACACACATGCTCACGGATCAGTACCTGGAGAAAACACAGGCTGTTTCATGAGAACCATCGGCTGAACAACATTCACCTAACATAATACAACATATAAAACAGCTACAGGTAGAAATATAATAGCTAACCATGAAAATGTATCCATTATACATTGCACTTTAGCAAAAGTTATAGTAAGTTAAAGTTTTTGAATGATTTTATTTACCTGTTTCTGACCTGGATTTGGCACAGGTATGTTGAAGCAGAGTTTCCAAACTGAAGGTCATCAAACTCACTCACTAGAATGGCTCTCATTAACTTGGATGTAGTAACCTGCCCACAAATAGAGTAGTCTTTGTAAATAACGTTAAATGCAGCTCGCTGGCAAGTACTGTTAATAGTAGAAGACACACGAGTGACTTGTGGACTTTGGACAGTGGCATTAGCTAGCAAGTGAGCCATTGTCTGGTTACCTAGCTAACGTTATTATTTCAGCAGGACATTTGAGTAGAAATACCATAATGTGTCTAAAATACAACTAGCATAAACATAAATTATATCAAGACAATGATAAGGTATGTCAAAACGGACTAATTCATGCAAGAAGTTGTCAGTGGCTGTCCTCCCCTCTTGCCTGTTGCCTCACGGTGGCGACAGCATGACATTTATAAACATCCGCATTTGACCACAGATTATTCATTATATTGACCAGATACTCAAGTGGCCGCTCTAACAATTAAAATAAATGTATAAAAAAAATGGAAACGCAGGCAAGATCAGGTGGGACCATTCTAGCCAATGAGAGGGCAAATAAACTGTTTCCACTAGTTACTACAGCCACAAAGTCAAAATTGGCTATATGTAAACGTTCATTAAAAAAAATGTTTTTGGGTTTTAATTTAAGGTTAGGGTTAGGCATATGGTTAAGATTGTGGTTGAGATTAGGGTTAGGTTTAAAATCACATTTTAAAAAGACAAATTGTCGAAATGGGCGGGGTTTATGAGTTTGTGGCTGTGGTAACAACTCCGATATAAAGTGTTTTTTATATCCGTACACTCGTAACAATCTAATCATTACGAAATTTGTATTCGATGAAGTAAGCCACACGTAGCAAATAAGCCATTACATTTTTTGTTAACCAAATTCGACACTCTCTCATTGACCTCCATACAAAAACTCCTCGCTTGTTGAGCAAATTTTTTTTATAAAAAATACGTGCTGGAGAAGACAGATGTTTTATCCCTCTCGCTTCGCCTCATCCTGTCTGATTTGACTGATCGGTATTTGACTCTCTCTTTCATTTGATAAACATTACACTTAATTCAAGACATTAGGCAAGCATACTAGCTGGCATTATCTAGTTTACTAAATGCAAAATGCCGTATATTATAGATGATACAGAGTAATATACTCTCAATCTGTCTGTTAGCTAAAATGGAAAATACACTGCTCAAAAAAATAAAGGGAACACTAAAATAACACATCCTAGATCTGAATGAATAAAATAATCTTATTAAATACTTTTTTCTTTACGTAGTTGAATGTGCTGACAACAAAATCACACAAAAATGATTAATGGAAATCAAATTAAAGTGGAAAACCACACTACAGGCTGATCCAACTTTGATGTAATGTCCTTAAAACAAGTCAAAATGAGGCTCAGTAGTGTGTGTGGCCTCCACGTGCCTGTATGACCTCCCTACAACGCCTGGGCATGCTCCTGATGAGGTGGCGGATGGTCTCCTGAGGGATCTCCTCCCAGACCTGGACCAAAGCATCCGCCAACTCCTGGACAGTCTGTGGTGCAACGTGGCGTTGGTGGATGGAGCGAGACATGATGTCCCAGATGTGCTCAATTGGATTCAGGTCTGGGGAACAGGCGGGCCAGTCCATAGCATCAATGCCTTCCTCTTGCAGGAACTGTTGACACACTCCAGCCACATGAGGTCTAGCATTGTCTTGCATTAGGAGGAACCCAGGGCCAACCGCACCAGCATATGGTCTCACAAGGGGTCTGAGGATCTCATCTCGGTACCTAATGGCAGTCAGGCTACCTCTGGCGAGCACATGGAGGGCTGTGCGGCCCCCCAAAGAAATGCCACCCCACACCATGACTGACCCACCACCAAACCGGTCATGCTGGAGGACGTTGCAGGCAGCAGAACGTTCTCCACGGCGTCTCCAGACTCTGTCACGTCTGTCACATGCTCAGTGTGAACCTGCTTTCATCTGTGAAGAGCACAGGGCGCCAGTGGCGAATTTGCCAATCTTGGTGTTCTCTGGCAAATGCCAAACGTCCTGCACGGTGTTGGGCTGTAAGCACAACCCCCACCTGTGGATGTCGGGCCCTCATACCACCCTCATGGAGTCTGTTTCTGACCGTTTGAGCAGACACATGCACATTTGTGGCCTGCTGGAGGTCATTTTGCAGGGCTCTGGCAGTGCTCCTCCTGCTCCTCCTTGCACAAAGGCGGAGGTAGCAGTCCTGCTGCTGGGTTGTTGCCCTCCTACGGCCTCCTCCATGTCTCCTGATGTACTGGCCTGTCTCCTGGTAGCGCCTCCATGCTCTGGACACTACGCTGACAGACACAGCAAACCTTCTTGCCACAGCTCGCATTGATGTGCCATCCTGGATGAGCTGCACTACCTGAGCCACTTGTGTGGGTTGTAGACTCCGTCTCATGCTACCACTAGAGTGAAAGCACCGCCAGCATTCAAAAGTGACCAAAACATCAGCCAGGAAGCATAGGAACTGAGAAGTGGTCTGTGGTCACCACCTGCAAAACCCGTCCTTTATTGGGGGTGTCTTGCTAATTGCCTATAATTTCCACCGGTTGTCTATTCCATTTGCACAACAGCATGTGAAATGTATTGTCAATCAGTGTTGGACAGTTTGTGGACAGTTTGATTTCACAGAAGTGTGATTGACTTGGAGTTAAATTGTATTGTTTAAGTGTTCCCTTTATTTTTTTGAGCAGTGTACATTTATCCAATGGAAGAAACAATTTCTAAACAAAATACATTTTATCAAGAAGGGAAGTGTGGATGAGGTCTGTCTGTCTGTCTATTTATCATCTATCCTCCCCAGGTGTCAGACACTCCAGATGTGCAGAAACAGAACTGCCCCTGGCTTTTCATCACACACAAGAAATGTCATATGGGAAATTTGATGTCTGGTTTGGAGAAGTCATGTGGAGATGCTGTGTTGAAGTTTGAGCCTTTTGTGCTTCATGTCCAATGCAGACAGCTTGAAGATGCACAGCTTCTGGTAGGAGTTAAAGAACCCTCCTGCTCTGTAGTTCTCATTGAAAATACCAGAAAAAAATACCAGACTCTCCAGACTAGTTTACAAACATATTACAGTTGGCTCAGTATAGCTTGCTTATATTGAAACTACTGTACGTTTTTAATTCATTCATTCTTCTGTATGAAGTGCTTTACTTATGTGCTTGTGTAACAGAAGTTATTTGTTTTATTCTGTGTGAATTCTCCATGTGATATTTCTCTAAGCAGTCCGAAGTACCCATGGCCTGGAGGTTTCACTGAGCCTCAAAGGACAGGTCCTGGTGAAGGAGGACTACATCTACTTCCTAGTGGAAGTAGCCAATCAGAAAATGGAGGAAAATGTCAAATGAATTGAGAGGTAAATTGTCCATTACCAACTACAGCAGCTAGCCACATATCATTGTGTCTAAAATGATGATCAAAGTTTAGTTCATGACTTGATTTACAAAAAGAGCTCAGAATTGATTGGAATTGATTGATTGATTGATTCGCTATAGCAAAAGTGTTTCATGCATCAACAGGTTCTACGAGTGGATACAGTCTGCTTTGCAACCAGCTGAACCTCAAAGCCCAGGTAGACAGGATGACGGAGGAGAAAACTGTTTACAAGCGACGGAGGAAAAGAGGACAGACATATGTTCAGACAGACGCTCAGGCAGACGCCTGCCAAGACAACAGAGATATTAATCCAGTTCAGCTGGTGGACTGCTTGGGCAGTGGGCTGGATCTGTTCACATAGACAAATCAAAAATCAAATACATGTTTATTTGTCACATGCTTCGTAAACAACAGGTGTAGACTAACAGTGAAATGTTTACTTACAGGCCCTTCCCAACAATGCAGAGATAGAAAATATAGAAATAATAGAAAAGCAATAACACATAATAATACAAGTAATAATAAATACACAATGAGTAATGTGCAGGGTGTTGATGTGCAGGGGTACGAGGTAATTGAGGCAGATAAGTACATATACAGTGCATTCGGAAAGTATTCAGACCCCTTGACTTTTTCCAAATTTTATTACATTACAGCCTTATTCTAAAATGGATTAAATAGTTTTTCCCCTCTACACACAATACCCAATATTGATATAGCAAAAACAGGTTTTTAGAATTTTTTTGCACATTTATAAAAATAAATAAAAATAAATATTACATTTACATAAGTATTCAGACCCTTTACTCAGTACTTTGTTGAAGCACCTTTGGCAGCGATTACAGCCTTGAGTCTTCTTGGGTATGACGCTACAAGCTTGGCACACCTGTATTTGGGGAGTTTCAGAGATAATCGTTGGTCCCCATAATCATTTGGGAAACACTGGTCGTATGGAAGACACTCTGTAAAGCTTGTCTAGACAGAGTAAAGAGTGGAGTGTATTCAACTATGGTGTTATTAATGGACTAAAGCAGAAGGAGGTTTAAGGATCCATCAACCACACATTATTGTAAATATATTACAAGGTCAATCAAACATAGCCTTAAGACAAAGCATGGAGTGCATGCATATTTGTCCTTTATGTAAATATACTGTAAATCTAATCTCACTAAAGACTCCACCTCCCTTTGTTTTTGATAACTGGCGCCTGTGTAACAATAAAACAAAGTGCATGTTCGTGTTTGCTTTTGCCTCCCGTGCAACTCCCTCCTGTCTGTTTCAGTTTAAACCATCATCATTGTCTCAAAGCATGCAGAAGAACACACACACACAAGCATACGTACATCCGTGTGTATGTATTTGTGCTTTGTATTTGAGTACAAAGTTGGCTGCTCTCTGACGGTGTCTTTGCCTGTGAAGAGAGAGGAGATTTACTACTATGGGAAAATACATCAACAGACCACCGAGCACCTTTTTCATGTCTGACAGTGTCTGACAGTTGCTCTGATGGGGATATGGCGTGCGCTTAAGAGCCCATTTCCTGAGGATTAGAACCCAGTAAATCAGATTCTGTCCAGGCCCGGTTGGTTCCTGCTGCATTCATGCCTCATTAGGGAGACCCGTCTCATTAACCAGGAAGAACTGCACTGGCTCTGCTCTGAACCACCAGGAGGCCCAGCTTCATGCCCAGGGTTTCCCCTGGTGTTACACTATACATAGGCCCCCCTGCCTAAATTTGCCTCCTGAAAATGGAGATGTTACCTAAGTATCTTAGGGGTGCTTTTCGCTACTCTGGAGAGAATTGTATGGGGCACACTGCAGCTTGGTTCAATGTTTGGATTTGACCCGTAGAGTAGGCTAGAGCCGCTTTTAATCTGCATGCTGTAGTATAAACACTTGGCTGGTCACAGACCTCAAGGTGGATGAGACAAATAACTTAACCTATACTTGATTTTAACTGAGGGGATATGGTAGAGACACCTGCATGCCCACATCATTATTCTGCATGCACCCTTCACTGCTAACAGAGGCTTATAGGGCCAGGGTGGCTCGTTGCGAGAGATTAGGATTGGCAGTGTGTCTTCAGGCTGGGGGGTTGGTTGAGGGTTTCGAGGGGGGCATACGACCTCTGCAATCAGTGGTGAATTGGGAGTCCTCCTGTCTGATTGTCAAGTGGGCTATTCTGCTACTGATTAGTAACTAGTGTCCTTCACCTGATTGGATGGCTGGACGTCCCCTCAGTGGCAGATTGGATAGCCAAGTAATTACTGCTCTTACTGTCAATCTGACCTTAGTTGGACAATATCCTCCCCTTTCACTGACAGAAACAGCGCTCATAGAACAGAGGGCAAATTGCCTGGTACTTTAAAGGGCATGTAGAATCATCATTGCTCCTTCCATGCACACACCAGAAATTAGCTTTAATTTCAATACCACAGGTGAAGGTTTCCCACATCAAATAATACTACAGTTTACTATAGAATTCTGTAGTAAACTGTAGTATACTGTAGAGTACTATACTACACACTGTAGTATCCATCAATCGTGTAGTGCTTGCTACATAATTTTGTAGTATACTATACTACTCTGTGGTATCCCTCGATCATGTGTAGGACTTACTATAGAATGTTGTAGCATACTGTAGAATACTATAGTAAATACTACCATATTATCAGCAAAAAACACTGTCCGTAAATACTACACTAATGTCCGCAAAAACACTGCAGTCTGCTATTTTTTTAAAACTATAGTAAATACTACAGTATTTTATTTGCATATACCCTGTCCCCTCCCCCATATATATTATAATTTGTGCCACCCATAACTGAGAAATCTACATGCCAAGTATAGACCATATATTGGGTTCCCAACAGGCTATATATAGAACAACGCGGAAGCCTTGATCAACATCCACATCTCTGGCGCCTGGGGAACAGTGGGTTAACTGCTTTGCTCAGAACAACAGCTCTGGGATTCAATCCAGCAACCTTTCGATTACTGGCACAACACTCCAACCCACCAGGCTACCTGCTACCCTATGAGGTCATAACATGTGTTGTGAGTCAGTCCTGTTTGTGAAGAAATGTTATGAGTGGGTTTGGCTTTCCCAGTTTCCCAAAACATGTCCACAAACAACCTAAAACATGGAGGATATGCATTGTTTTTTGTTTTGGGAACAGCCATGAAGTCTTATCTCTTAAGGATGAGGGTGGTGTTTGAGTGTGTGTGTGTTGAAGGGTTGTTGTCATCCTCTTTGGGGCAGATTGTTTGGCCACCATGTCCTGTTGCACCAGCCTCTACGCAGGCTCTCCCTTAGATCTGCATCTTCATACAGCCTATCAGGGCTAAGAGAGATGGCTATATCCCATATCTGTGAGGGTTCCTCAGTGGCAGCACTTCAGAGGGTCAAGGTTATGGTGAGGATCAGGGTTTGGGTTACTAGAAGTACAAATTGCAATAACTAAACCCCAATCCTAAACTTATCTGACCCTAGTATCAGAGGTTGGGGGCAACTTCTTCTACCTACTCTGTTTATAGCTCAGTCCCCTCCAGACAGAGCCACACTCCACGCTGCCTGCCTGGAGTTGTTGTCACCTGACCCAAACAGGAAGTGTCTCTCGTTTGATCCTGACAGCTCTGACATTCATGAATTGCCTACGTGGTCCGTGGTGGTCCCTCCACCTCACAACTTACAGTACAGCTACCAGCAGCAGTTTACAATTACACTCATGTCTGAGGTAGGGTAGAAGGGAGTGTGAAGAAGGGAGTCTGACTCCACAGAGAAAGTAGAATAACTTGACTCTCGCTTTCATCTCAGCTGCACAATTGGCTATCGGGAAGCAGCGCGAACCTAAGGTCCCTGACTTGCCCGGCTACACCACCGGAGAAACGGACGGAAAATAAAATAAACAGTTGTACTCTGGGTACTGTATCATTATCACAACAAAGCGAGGGGGCGGGGAGACTTGAAATCGGAGGACGGGCACATCTGGAGTGCGTTAATCAACCGGTGAATGACGGATGCATTCTATTCCACCGGCAGACACATGCAGGGCCGGCTGCAAGTCGCTTGTGACTAGTGGAAATTACATCATCAGGATGAATTGTTCTTATCCTGGGCATTTGGGTTGAGGGTGGTCCATCTCAGTGCCCTGAATAATCACATGCTGTCCGCTCCAGGCATGGCTATTAGTTACCTTGCCTAAATTGCTTCCATTTAGTACAGTGGCCTCCGGCATGGTGTTAGGCCTACAGTAAAGTAGGAAATAGTTTACTGGAATGGTATATGTCTAAATGAGAATAGGCATAGGTCTATCATGTGTGTTGTAACTTGATGTCTGCAGGTATTTAAGTTTTAGTCATTTAGCAGACACTCTTATCCAAATTTGATTTGAAAGCGACTTACAGGAGCAATTAGGGTTAAGTGCCTTGTTCAAGGGCCCATCGACAGAATTTTAAATCTAGTCGGCTCAGAGATTTGAACCAGCGTCCTTTCGGTTACTGGCCCAACACTCTTAACCAGTAGCCTATCTGACCAGGCTCCTGCATGCATCTATGCAAGGGGCATCACACAGTAGAGTATTTGGTAATGTGCCATAATAACGTAACCTGTTACTGACTGTTCTTGAGGTATTCTTCACAACCTGTTCCTGTTCGGTCAAATCTTAACCTGTGGACTTCTGTCTCGATCAGGTCCCTAGCCATTTTACCCTCTCCTCCACCCCTCCCCCACTAACCTCTCCCCCTCTCTTCCCTACTCTCCTGACGGGTGGCGTGCTCCCTGTTTGCCGGTGGGGCGGCTGCAATTAGTCAGATCCCTTGTAATTTCCTGGAGCCCTCTGAAGTGGTCGATGGGGGGGGGGGACAAGGGGATGGAGGGGGTACATAGAGGAGAGGAGAGGGCTCGGAGGGATTGGGGCACAGGGGGTACATAGAGGAGAGGGGGCGGCGGAGAACCCATATCTGTTAGGTGAAATACCACGGTGTGCCATCACAGCAGCAAGATTTGTGACCTGTTGCCACAAGAAAGGGGCAACCAGTGAAGAACAAATACCATTGTAAATAGAACCCATATTTATGTTGATTTATTTTCCCCTTTGTACTTTAACTATTTGCACATCATTATAACACTGTACATAGCCATAATATGACATTTGAAATGTGTCTATTCCTTTGAAACTTGTGAGTGTAATGTTTGCTGTTCATTTCACTTTTGTTTATTATCTTTTTCACTTGCTTTGGCAATGTAAACATATGTTT